GAGGGCGACTCGGAACGGGAGAGCGAGAAGCAGTCCACAAGAGACGGAGAACGAGCAGCAGCGGTCGACGGAGAGCGCCGACGCCGAGTACAGCGGAGAGTGCGGCGTCAAGCACAAGAAGGCGCTGCACGGCATGCTCGGGGTGCAGGGGCTCAAGAGGGCTCCCCCACGCTTCGACATCGGCTCGGAGTGCGGCACGGAGAGCGCTGCGGAGCCCCAGGAGACGGAGAGAGTGGTGCCGCCGCTTGCGGCCAGTATTGACGCGAGGGGCGACGGCAAGGGCAGCACCAAGATCAAGCAGGTGCACGGCACACACACACACACACACACACACACACACACACGAGACGGGCGACCCCGTCAACGACGAGGCGGCCTAGAAACAGGAGTGCGCGGAGGAGGACCTGCAGGCGATCCATGTGGAGTCGCTCACTGAGGCGCGCGCGCGCGCTTGAGAGCGGCACCGTCATAGGCTGTTTGCACAGGGACAGTGTGCGCAGTCACGCGGGTTGTGCCTCCGTCCTTGGTGCTGATGTTGTGTGATGGCCCCATTAGCAGGGTCGGCGGAACGACGGCGTGGGTGGGAGTGCGAGGGCACTCCCAGAGCAATTTCCGCGTGCCGTGCGTGGGGCGCGGCAGGTGCGGGCGAGTGCAGAGCACTCGATTTGGCGTGTGGGTGCAGGGCCATTCCGACAATTTCTCGACGGCTGAGCGGGAGCCGCCGGTAGCGTTTCGATTTGGTGAAGCTGGCGTTCGTTGTCACACGCCCTGGAGTCCTAGAGTCCTCCTCCTCCTCCTCCTCCTCCTCCTCCTCCTCCTCCTCCTGCTCGTGATCCTCCTCCTCCTCCTCCTCCTCCTCCTCCTCCTCCTCCTCCTCCTCCTCCTCCTCCTCCTCCTCCTCCTCCTCCCATCCTGCGGCTGTTTGCACAATCTGCGGATCGGTTTCTCCGCGGGGCTGGTGGCCCATACCGACCGAGGTCCCCGCAGAGATGTTTGGTAGCATGCACGCGTGTGGGCATGCTGCTCTCACACCGGCCCCATGGAGGGCATTCCGCCCTCCCCGGAGGCCTGCTGCAGCCTCCAAGCGACCGCGCTTTTCTCTTTGTCGTTTTTGTTGTTTTGTTTGTTCTCTCTCTCTCTCTCTCTCCGTGTCTCTGAAGGGGATGAGAGGATGTAGGAGGAGGGAGCTTTGGACACCGTACTCACAAGTACATTTGAGGAACGCGTGCGGGCACGTAATTGTCCGCCGGACAATTCGGCGTGCTGACCACACCAGAGGGTTCATCAACCAGAGCGTGGAGCATGCACGTTCCGCATTGTGAGGGGCGCGTTCGCATGCGACCCCGGCCTTTTCCCATGCGAGTGCCTACCGCACCACACAAACTCAGGATTTTGAGGATCAAACTTCCAAGCGGTCGTGGATCACCGAACTCTGAGGATCGCCTCATCCTTAAAGATGGGCTTAGGCGCCCTGAAGCCTACAACGTACTTGGCAGTCCTTCTCCTCCATCTCCTCCTCCTCCTCCTCCTCCTCCTCTTCCTCCTCCTCCTCCTTCTCCTCCTCCTCCTTCTCCTCCTCCTCCTCCTCTTCCTCCTCCTCCTCCTCCTCCTCCTCCTCCTCCTCCTCCTCCTCCCCCTCCTCCCCCTGCCCTTGCTCCTCCTCCTCCTCCCCCTCCTCCCATGCCTGCTTCCTCCTCCCCTCCCCCCTCCACTCCTCCTCCTCCTCCTCCTCCTTTTCCTCCTGCTCATAGACTAATTCCTCCCTCCTTCTCTTCCTCCTCCTCCTCCTTTTCTTGTATCCTCCTCCTCCTCCTCATCCTACTCCTCCCTCCTCCTCCTTCCTCCTCTCTCCTCCTCCTCCCCCTTGTCCTCCTCCTCCTCCTCCTCGTCCTCCTCCTCCTCCTCGTCCTCTTTTTTTTCCTCCTCCTTCTCCATTCCTGTCCCTTATTAATCATTTCTCCTTGTCGCACCCCGAGGCATGTTTTTAGGGCGGACCGGATGTTTCGCCTGAGATGTCCTCACCACGTATGATATTGAAGCTTAAAAGTTGACAAGAGCTTCGCAGATGGAGGGCGGGTCGTTTTCAAACTGTGGCTCTCGCCCCAGCGCGGCGCACATTCGTGCTAGAAAATAGCAAGAGCTTCACGGAATGAGGGGCGTGGCTCTCGCCTGAGCGCGGCGCACACTCGTTGGAAACAGTTCCACGCGCTTCACGGATTGAGGGCGGCTCTTTTTCAAAATGTGATTATCGCACTAACGCGGCGCACATTCGTTTTAAATATGTGCACGAGCTTCGCGGATTGAGGACGGTTCTTGTCCAAAATGTAAGTATCGCCTCAACGCGGCGCACACTCGTTCTAAGATTCGCAAGGGTTTCACGGAGTCCCATCATCCACGTGCCAGACATTGTGTTTTGAAAGGATTCAGGATTATGCGGGCGCGACAGTTATGTTGATTCGCCGTGTTGAAGTCCCAGGAATGGCGTTCTGGCACGATTCAGGATTGTCACGACGCAACAGTCAGGTTGATCCGTCGCTTTGGAATCCCGAGAACAACGTATTGGTATGCTTCAGGGTCTTCAACAGGTTGTCTTCTAAAGAAGCAGTTCTTTCAATGGAAATGAGCCGTTGTAGGGGCCTATGAAGAGGGAGTTTGGAGGGAGGTTTGAATTATTCAAACATCGTTGATGATTCTTGGGCTTAAACAGGTCCTCCTCCTCCTCCTCCTTCTCCTCCTCCTCTTCCTCTTCCTCCTCCTCCTTCTCCTCCTCCTCCTCCTCCTCCTCCTCCTCCTCCCCGTCCTCCTCATTATCCTCCTCCTCGTCCTCCTCGTCGTCCTCCTGCTCTTGCTCCTGCTCCTCCTCTTCATCTTTTCCCTCCTCCCTCTCCTCCTCTTCCTCCTCCTCCCTCTACTCCTCCTCCGCGCCATAGAGGAGTGCGCACCCGCGCGGGAGCTCCGACCCCGCCCCCCCCCCCCCGAAAGAGGCGCACTGGTCCTCCCTGAGCGACTCGATCTCGGCCGCGCAGGGGCTGCGAGAGGCCACGGCCCCGGTTGGGAGATCCGCGCGCGGATTCGTGCAGCCAGGTTTGCTCCGGCCCACCCTCGCGTCGGCAGCTGAGCTGGTGACCCGAGGGCATCCCGCTGAGGCCACGCGCGAGGGAGGAGCGATGGGTCAGTTTCGGTGAAGCGGTCCTATCCCCGTCCCCATCTCCAAACCAATCCCCACCATCCCGCCACCCCACTTGGGGAGATGCCCCTCAAAACCCGAAGGGAGCAGCCCCTATGTGCCCATCCAGGGATGGTAAATCAGACAATGGGGCCCAGGTCACGCCAGCGGGGATTGGGATCGGGACATCCGGCTGCTCCAATTTTTCGATGCTTGGACCCCAAAGGTCCAGACCACTTCCCTGGTGTTGGTTTTTCGTCTTGGGTCGTCTTTTGACGCTCCCGAGGCCCAGGGATGGCCCCCAGAGGCCGACATCTGTCAAAAACCGCCCGCTCCAATTTATTGTTCTGGAGGTCGGATCTCTAGCTGTTCTTCCGACGTTCATTGTTCCCCCTTCATTCTATCATCCGTCCCCCTCCTCATTGCTTTCCTCCGCTTGGATCAGGAGGAGGAGGAAGGGGAAGGAGGAGGGCTAGTGCAAGGGAGGAGGAGGAGCAGCAGCAGAAGATTCCTCTGGCGCTCCTCCCCCACCTTTTCCTCTTCCAGGACGGCCGACGACCACCACCACGACCCCTACGACGACGACACTGCTTCCGTTGACGACGTGAGCGCCGACGACACCGACGACGCCTGCGACTGAGACGACCACGACGCTGGCCAAAGCTGACGAGCGTTGGCGCGACGACGACGACGACGGCGACGACGGCGACGACGGCGACGACGACGACGATGACGACGACGGCGACGACGGCGACAACGACGACGACGACGACGACGACTGGCCCGAGGCCGCCCGGCACGGCGGCGCGCGGACGGCGGCGGGCCTCGAGGAGCTGCGCCGGGAGCAGGCCGCTGCCACTCGGGGGGGGGGGGGAGGCGGCCTCCGGAGGGCGGGGGCCTCCAGAGGGCGGTGAAGGTCAAAGCCCCGAAGCCTCACGGTTACGTCGGGCGTGTCCCCCCACAGGGGGATAAAGGTCAAAACATACTCAAAAAATAGGCCCCCGACTATTTTCATATTGGTTTTTTTATTATTTGGGGGGTATTTCTTATTTTTCGTCGAAAACGCTTGTAGGGGGACAGGCCCGACATAACCGACGCCTCACGGCCCAGACCCCCCCGACGTCATGATTTTTGTTCATGACGTCGACTCTGAGAGGTCTCGACCCATTCCCCGGCCTCGGGAGGCCCTTGCCGGCCCTCGGGACCGTCAAAAATCGACTCGGGACGAGACACTGGCCCAGGGGAATGGGTTCGAGACCTCTCATAGGGGAACAAAAAGTGGACATTACATAAGAAACTCGGAGGTCGCGCGGATTTCTCAGGATCGCGCTGGGCCCCCCCGGGCGGCGCATCCGTCGCCGCCCCTTTTGTTTTTTGTTTGGCGCGCTCCGCGCGCCAGGGAGGGGGGTCCAGCGCCGATCCTAGAAATCCGCGCGGACCTCCGAGTTCTTATGTTTATGTCACTTTTTGTTCCCCTATGAGAGGTCTCGACCCATTCCCCGGGGCCAGTGTCTCGTCCCGAGTCGATGTTTGACGGTCCCGAGGGCCGGTAAGGGTCTCCCGAGGCCGAAAGGAAGGAAAGACCTCCCGTCATGATGTTTTCATGACCCGAGGGGGTCTGAGGGGGTAACTCGCGAGTCGGGGCTAGCTCGGGTTCGGTTTTCGGGAAGCCGAGCCCGAGTTACCCCGGGCCCGAGCTACCCTGGAGAATTCGGGCGTCCAGAACCCAAACTCACCAGGGGTAGCTCGGGTCGGGGCTAGCTCGGGGACGGTGGTGATAAGCCGAACCCGAGTTACCCCGGGCCCGAGCTGCCCTGGAGAATTCGGGCGTCCA